CTACAATACCGACCCCTACAACAGAAAAATTTCCCATAATTAAACAATCATTCTGTATTAAAATTACATTCTAAATTTGAAATTTTCATTCCATCTTAAAAATGTCATTCCAATTTTAAAATTTTCCTTCTTACTTGAAAACTTTCCTTCCAAGAATGGGGTATCCCTTCTTATTTGAACTTCATGCTAGAGATGGAATGAAAGTCTGGACGAGTTCATGAAATATTTTAATTTGATTGTCATTCTAAGTAAAAATTTTCAGTCATAAATAGGTTAATCCAATTTAAATTAGAAGATATTTGTTGTAGTAGAATGAAAGTTTAATTAAAACATTTCATAAACTCGTCCACACTTTCATTCCATCTTGAACAAATAAATGTAGTTGGAAGGAAAAACTCATATTAAGACGGGAACTTATCAAAAAGGACAGAAAATTTTAGAATTGGACGAACATTGGAATGATAATTTCTAAATATGAAAGATTTTTTTTTTTTAGAATGTTTTTTCAACTTTCATTTCTCGTGGGAATTTTTTTGTTGTACTCCTACACCTCCTTGCTACTGGGACCTCAACAACCAATTGGAAATTGGTCCTGTGCATCCCGGCCAGCTGGTTCCGCACAGTCCACGTCTTCAGAAACCACCTGAGCGGTGCTCGATTTGCATTCCTCTCCCTTTCCGTGCCTTCCTTCTCCAGTGCACTTCTATCGCCTGTCTCATGCCCCTGTTGATTAGTCATTTGATTTGGTTGTCGTAGAAGCGACGCCCTTCAAATCTTGAGGGGTTCCTGTCCGACCATTTGAAGGAGCAAATTTAATTTATTGCTCCGGCCACCTGCGCCACATATGGCCAATCTCTCAGCCCTATAGAGTCCGTTGGTAGGAAGAAGCCCAGAAGTACGCACTTCTCAATGACATCCCATTCAACCCCTGTCCCCCCCATCAGGTGTCAGTGGGTGGGCCAACATTGCCAGACCCGCTTGGAGGCTGGGCATTCCCACCACAGATGGGGAGTAGACTCGAAAGACCATCTTCAGGGGGTGCAGCCCAGCCTTACCTCAAGGCCCCTGTCATTCTTCGCACCAACGTATCGTTCTTTTTTTTTTTTTTTTTTTTTTTTTTGAAAGCTGATCGTAGACCGTGTGTGTACAGGATGCATTGATCACCGATGACACCAGGGGCTACCCCACTTGCAAAGAGGATTGGATTGAGCGCCTGAACCTGGGCACACATGTCGGAAAGGCGCCGAAAATAACTATTGATCTTCTTTTCTGCATGTCTGCACAAAGAACGTCCCCATTCAGGCCTACAATTCGATCCCCATGGCTAGGGGCGAACCTCGCCCTAGAGATGAGCAGGTTGTTACCTCAGAGACCAAGTCTGTGCCCTCATCATACGAAACTTTGCTGCCTTCTCCAACGCACTGCCGAGTCATCAAGGTCAAAATTGCTCTCCTTTGTGATCCTCTATGGTGCATTTCGGATGCACGCACGCATGCACGTATCCATGCATGCATGCGTGCATGCATTCAGGCATGGACGTCAGAGATCATCAGTCCATTGTCCGTGCCCTCCTCAGGCTAAACGATTTTTTTCAGAATTTTTTTTTGTTTCTTTTTCCTCGTCAAGCTCCACCTTGCAGCCTTCTTTTCAGGAACATATCTTTTTATTTAATTTATGAGACAACTGCGCCTGTGACTGCTGCGTGGTTCAGAATTCGCAGAAATAACAGTCCACTGCAAAATTGGGCCAAGACCAGACTGAGTTAGAAACTCCAAGAATAACAATAAACTCTTCGTTCTGACAGACTATGGGTTCAATAATTGGCAAAAACGGGAGGTCGCCTCTGCACTCTTTTTCCCATGGCCTGGCCTGGGAGCAGGTACCCATAGCAGGCCCTCCCGTTTTTGGCTTCTGGCGGGACTCTGTTCAGGCGGGTACCGTTTTCGAAATTGCGCGACACTAGTTGCTCTTTTAGGGGTGGTGCTCCCACCTTGCTATCTTTAGCAAACCCCGCTGAGAGAGAGAGAGAGAGAGAGAGAGAGAGAGAGAGAGAGAGAGAGAGAGAGAGAGAGTTTTCCAGCCATGCACGCAGAGATATAGAGAGTGGCTATTTCCATCAATTGGATGAGCAAAATCGGAATGAATCTTCCGCTAGAACATGGAAATATACACTCTGTGTGTGTGTGTGTGTGTGTGTGTGAGAGAGAGAGAGAGAGAGAGAGAGAGAGAGAGAGAGAGAGAGA